TTAGATGAATCAGATGAGAAAGGGCTGATAGATTTTAGTCGTCACTATACTGGTATTGTCATAGGCGTGGCATGTGCAGCAATATTTGCTATCTTAGTGATCATGATATTCAGTCACACCAGAAGGAGACTACGGGCAAATCGTAGTGACACTTTAACCCGCCGTCAGTCTATGCCCTTCTCTGATAATGATGTCTTTCAGCAGAATGCACCACCAACATATGATGATGGTAAGCTTTCATTTTGTACTTTCACTCCCAAAGGGCGGAATGATAGAGTCCTGTAAGGTGGTTCTAAATTTTGAGTCTGTGGACAAAATCCTGCAGTGTGACCATTTAAATGAAACCACATCTCAGCAGTACTTTCACATGGTACCAGTTATTTAGTACAGTGGAACCCCGCCCTATGGAGACCTGTATATATAATTATATGTAGTAAAATCCAACTAGTGGTCTATTATCAATGCTACATTCTGATTGGTTGAACTACTACTAGGTTATATGTTATAGCCCACAAGTAGCGAAAAGTGCCGGCTTTGAAAACCAGAAACAATGGCGGCTGAATCGCATTTTGCTAGTTAAAGTTAGTTTTGACCAACTAGTTGGATTTTAGTCAAACAATTATTCCTCGAGCCCGAATGGCCTCTGAGTCAATAGCCCATTCAGCCTTCGGCCTCATGGGCTATTGACTCAGAGCCCATTCGGGCTCGAGGAATAATTGTTAAATATATTGTCTCTAATATTAACCTGCTCAATACGGATACACATTATGGACACTATGGCATGTCCTGTTTGGTGTCCCTATTAAGCCAGTTCCACTGTATTTATTTCTAACAGTTGAAACCTCTTCAGCAGTACTGTCACATGGTACTACAGTCAAACCCCAAATGGACCACAGAAAGTGTCTGTATTAATGGGGTGTGTTCATATTAAGCGGGAAATAAAAGAGGACATAAGCTTAATCGTCAAATTAAACTTCTCCCACCTTCACAAAGCCGACATTACGTGGTTTCCGCGGGGTTCAACACTAACTTTTCAACTTAACACTTACTAGTCTAGTGGCTAGTGACAAGTAAGATGTTACTAGCCGAAAAACATTTTTACCAGCCAAACATTGATGTTGCCTTGGTATAATAATAAGTCCACAGAAACACTTAAAAATTGCTCATTTATGGCATCACTTAATCAAGACCCTTCTCTTCATAACTCGTTTGACGCCAAAAATTGACGTCTACAAATCACTCTAGCTATCTGGTGAATGGTAGCACTGGAAACATCAATGTGCTGTCAACTGAAGGATTTTTTGCCTTCAATAAGGAAAGGTCCTGCACAGAAAACAGTTGATAATGAAGTGACCACATTCACGAGGTTGGCTTTCTATGAGAATTTGTTGATTGGGCAAGAAATAAGTGTCTGTTGTCCGCCTTAACAGGTGTCGGTATGAAGCGGGTTGAATTTCGAGAAAATGTAAGGGCTTTCTCTCCCCTGGGACAAAGAAAACTGTCCGCAATAACGAGGTGTCCATATTAAGCGGGTGTCCATCCCTGTGTCTGGGGTTCGACTATATTGTACAAGATGAAATCTAAAATTTTTGTCATATGCCATGTGCACTTAGTAGGCAAGGAAAGTAGACATTTTTTCCTTTGCCAAGCTTTTCTACCCTGTCTGTTGATTGCTCAAGGGCCATCACTACTGAAAGACCTTAAGATACACAGTTTCTGCCAACCGTCACGGGTAGGTGACCACATTTGCCTTGTAGTTATATAAAAGGCAACCATTGTTTCCCTGATGAGATAACGGTGTTACCGTTCCACCCAGTAGTCTACACGTTTCTCCGGGGTAGGAGGCAATCTACCCGTATCGTGGCTACTCGTACGCGCGTACATGGAAACGGTGTATCTCGACTTAACACTTTTTTTTAAAAAATAGTGCAGCATTGGAGTATAACTTTTTTGTAACGTTTAAATCTCTATGTTAAATGTTGCTGTTTTTGTTTTTGTAAAACATTACAGTCATGCGGTTTCCAGATCTTTATCCTCCAACTCCTTGTCAAGGGTCATTATCCAACACTCCTGCTGCAACCCCTCGAAGAGGATCACCAGTTTCAACACCCACACTGCCTCACCGCTTACTCAATCCACCTCGATCACCAGCTCTGATTCCAAAGGTTGGAACACCCATTGGCATGCCTCTTTTAAACACATGGCGAGGGAGTAGTACACCACCAAGTACATCCAGAGTGTCATTACAGCGGGGTATTTCACCCTTAGCAAGAGCAGAGTTGACACCGCAGCATTCCCGACCTGCAGATCATCTGTCTTCAGATGAACAAGATGGAGATGAAGATGATGAAGAGCTACCACCATACCCAGGAATAGTGAATGTTGCATCGGTGTTAAATCAAGTGAGAGAAACTTTAGAACATAGTAGACTTGCTACAAGGCAAACGTCAAATCCTTCATTAAGTGACAATAGTAATTCATCTGACAGTAATGATAACAGGACAGTGGGTGGTCAAAGGAGACCACTTGACACCCGTGCCGTAGTTATGGACAATACAGGAGATGTCCAGACAAGTCTAGAACCAAATAGAGTGCAAAGTGGTGATAACAACACTGGTGGTCTTGGTAATCCTTGGGTTTCCTCCAAGGTTGCTCGAGTAGCTGCTCCTGGAAGAACTTTACGATCTATTGAGTCTGATGTTTGACTGCTGTTGTTGGACCATGGCCATGTTTTGCTTTGGTAACGGACGGACCTCTGTGTTCATCTTAACATTGGTGGGGGTGCTCTTGGCAGGAATGAGATCATTGAGGTTACCCACTGAAACGGAAGTAAATATTGAGGAGTCCGTAAAGTTTTACCAACTTGAACTCGATGAGGCCTTGCTTTTTAAGTAATACTCATTTAGAGTAATGATACAGTAAAGAACTGCAACAGCACATAATCTCTGCCAGCCGAAAAGCTGAGTTAGCCGAGATCTTAGTTGTAGTGGGATGGGCGAGATTTGTGTTTTGCCCTGCAGTCAGAACATTTGAGGCGTTTAAGTACACCATGAAACTGGAAAATCGTGGAATTGAAAGATATCACATGATAGGCTGAGCCGCAGTGAGTTGAACAGTTTTGGCTTGTAAATTTATATCGTTTGGGGCAACCTGGTATCACGTTTTACCGAGTTTAAGGAGAAGCCGGGTAAAGTAACTTCTTGAGATCTGTCAACCATCAAGCACGGAAACAAATGATACCTTCCAAGTAATCCTCTCGTGCTTTCAAGAAAAGTCAGAAAAAGTACACTTTTATCAAAGTTATAGAAGAAACCGCACTTAGTATCTTTGGAAGATGGTTCGAATCTTTGATTGATAGTTCGTATGGGAATGGGTCAAACATCATAGCCCTCCAGGGCCCAGTTGTTCGAAGGCCGATTAGCCCTTAACCCGGGGTTAAATTTAACCCGGGTTTCTTTTTCTCGTGTTCAAAAGCATTTTCTCGGATAATTTACTCTGTTATTTTTAGAGCTTTCATTCATCAACTTGGAGACAAAAAGAATTAAAGCCGAAATGCTTTTTTAAGCTTTCAAATCTGATTTCAAATCTCGCACTAACCCTGGGTTATTTTAACCCAGCTTTGAACAACTCGGCCCAGATGGAAAGCAAAGGAGGAGCCGATAGGCCTTTCCACGGGTTTTTTTTCAACTTTCTATATGGACAAGTTGGGGGAAATCCGTCGACTTTGCTGGAAAGAGCGCCTTTAAATTAGTATAAGTGCCAAGTTTGAAAGTTTTTTGGCAAGTTTATTCATTCTAAAGCGCTCTTTCCATTGATGTCGACGTATTTTCCCCAACTGGTCCGCCATGTTTAAAGTTGGAAAAACCATGGGAGGGTCGATTACAAATGAAGATCAGTTTTATTATAAATCATGGTGTTTAAAACGTTGTACCCTTCACGGGTTAAGAAAACAGAGAAAATGCAATGCAAGTGGTTGTAAAACGCTCCCTTTACGATAGCACTCATCGATTCTGATTAGTGCTACTCTACAGTCAAACGCTGACATACAAATCATGTAAAAAGGATAATTGCCCGAGTTTGCCCATTTTGAAGAGGAGAAGATGTACGGCAATGAATGTCAGCCATCTTCTCTCGTCGAAAAACTCCCGACTCGAGGAGAACGCAAAATGCTCCCTTAGCAACAATAAGGTACTAGAGAAGACCATGAAACTGGCCTTAGTGCCCAAGCTTTTCAATCCTAGAAAACGTTACATAGCAGAGGTGCTTAATATATGACTAAAATTATTATTTATTAATTTACATGAATTTTCAAAAATATAACGGTTTTTAACTTAGCATACATTTTTTCGACAGAAACGTCTGCCTTGTTCAGTGCTAGTTACATGTATGCAAATGTTAAAATTGTCGTTCTATATTTGAAGATTACTGTAAGCTTGCTACTACTGTGTAGACCCTCAGTATTATATGTGAATAAAGCGACATGCCCGCCTTATTTTAGTTGTGGTTTATTTTTGGTACGCCGGGTCAGTCGTTACACAGGGAACGCTTTATTATGTGGCGTAGAGCTAGCCTCTGTATCAAAACGAGGTTAAGTGCTCAGCCTTTGATATGAAAATGATTCTTCATTCTCATGCAAATAAAACTCATTGTCACTAGAAAGGTTGTGCTCTCGGTCTCACTTTGAAAGTGAGGGTTTTTGGAACTCGGAAGTGGCCTATTGAAACGATGAATACATTCATACGCTCCTCCGAGTTCACTCGAGAACTGTACCATATTCCAGACCCAAATGGGCAAATTCCATTCCCTTTTTCAGACCAAAACGGCGCCAAAACCCTACCCTTTGGGGCGGCACACACATTTATGGCTTATATAAGAAAGAACTCCCTCCCGGGCTACAATTAGATTGTCGCCAACGTGCACCCTTGAGTGGCCAGCCTAAAGAGGCTTCCAGAGTCAAAAAATGTAAAAGTGATCATAAAAAATGTATCCCTTCCGACCTATATTTATCCTCGACAGTGTTTAAAACGCAAATGCTGCTGAATTGGTGCTAAGTGAATTCCTAAAATAACTAATAATATTCAAATAAAATACAACCTTTGTAAAAATCCGTACTTTTAGGAGGTAAACCAGCGTGGCCATGGAATTGATCACTCAAAGCTACCGAGAAACAAAACTAGCTAGTGCTCAGCAGGTAGGTCTTCGATGAACACGGGACATCGGATCGCAAGTCTGGCGCGCGCTAAGACTAATTGCGTTGCCACGCTACTCAGTCATCCTAATCCACTGCCAAGCCACTCAGTTCTTCCTATCACCCGGCATAAGACAGCGTTCTGATCAAAGGCCAGAGACTCATTCTGTTCTCTTTAGAACTGTAACTAGACTCCATGGCATGGCTGATGTCACTCCTTCCGCGTTGGGTTTGCGTTATTTATTATAGTTCACTCTCGTTTGGCCAGACTGGACATATTTTTGAGTTTTCGTCTTCAAAGCTACGGAGAAAACATTCCCCAGCTCTAGCAACTGAAAAGAGAATGCTGGAACTGAAACAGGAATTAGTGATTGTCAATCCATTTCCGAAGGTTATATCGCGCTGCCAGCAAGTATTAAGAAAAAGGGGAAGGTTCTGCCACTAACTATGTGCCGGCCGGCTCCACCTTCGGCTGGGTTACCAGGCCAGGAGCCCATTCCTCGAAGTTCCGATAATTAAAGGACCCATTTACATTTAAGGTAGAGACTTCAAAGGTTTTGCAGATAACATGATAACAATAAAAGGTAACAAAACAAAATGGACGGGTTTGTTAGCTTGGGCCTTCGCTCTTACTCTTTACATTTTCATTTCAATATTTGATTTTAACCCCAAAAGTTACTGACGGCCCCCTGAAGGGCAGTAGCCGGACGAGAATTCTTCCAGAAAGCAAAATAGGACGAAACTGTTCCAGTCCTTCGTTTATTTAATATTTTTGGCAGTTACTCTATTGCTCATGTTTTGTTTATTTTTTTGTTTTGTAATCGTAAGATTCAAAGCAGAGCTAACAAAAAAATAATTTAGGTTATAGTGTCAGTGATTTACTGTAGTAAATCACGGAGTAAACTTGCACGTGCTGATTGAATGTAAAATCAAAAGGACAATTTGAACGACTGAGTGCAGTATGATCGACCTCATTGGCTTTTATGGCCAGCTAGCAAGAGCGAAATGGTTGCCTAAAAATCACGAACCATGCTATCCCTGACACTTGGTGAAGAAGGTAAAATTCTGACAACGTAACAGCGACAACCGTTAATTAATAGGAGGGTCTGGTAATCCAAAATTTTGTGCAATCCCATAATCCCGACGGTTAATTTTGGCATCCTACCTCCCGCACATACTTGCAATCCCAAATCACACTAAGATTTTGCTTTACAATATCCGAATCCCGAGCTTCAAATAAAGGCATCCCGGATCCCGAAAAATCTTTATTGGGGATTCTCTCTTGCTAATAGACTAATAGTTAGATGCTTTCACCACTATAATAATGACTATAAAATTTCCTTTTATACACAATACACACCGTCAACACACGCTTCAATATTATCATTTGAAGCGTGTGTTAAAATAATTTGAGTGTCCTGGGAGATAGTTTCACAACGAACAGGTATTCAGACGAGCACGAGGTAAACGCTTTTGTTCACCGTGTTCTCGAATGCTAACAGTGAAGTGCGGCAGCACATGGTATGCGAGGGGTAACCTTCTTTAGCATATATTAATAAAACGAAACAGCACTTGTTCATTTTCCAACAAAAGCTTCGCCGCGGCCACCCAGTTTGATTAGAGCGTTAGTCAGCACCATGAGTTAAGAAAACATGAGTTACTCGAGATGACATAAAAGGATGACGACAGCCACAACACAATACATTTGACATTAGAAGCCGAACACACTCGTAAATTTGACGTATAAGTATCAGTTTGGAAGGTTTTTAGTATTAAACTTCTTCACAGAAAAAAGTACACTTTCACTTTCGAGGCTTGGCCAATTTCTGCGTTAATAAACCATAAGCAATATTTAAACTGTTTCTACCAGTTTATAAGCGGGATAAAGTGCCTAGGAGAATTTTCACCGTCGGGGTCTCTACTTCACCGGTTTTTGTTTTTTGCTTTTTTTTTTTTTAATCAAGCTCTTCTTTTATCTCATTAGGATTCTTTCAGTTTTGTTTTGTCTCAGCCCAAACTCGTCAAAAATCTCCCAGTTTGGCTCAATTCAGATCGGCAGAGTGATGTTGTTTTGCGAAGTCCTCGTGGTTCTTTTTGTATTTATCATCTTAACACGTGCCTAGCATGGAAACCACTATATTGCTTCTTATTTTCTTCCAGTTGATTATTTGATTTTAAATTTACTAATCATCACCAAGTATGCCATTACTATAAACAGGTATATCCAAAAACGTTGCTTAGATTGCTCGGTAAAATAAAAATTGTTTAGCGAGAACACATGGTCAACCTTTCACTATTTATATAATATATAACAAGTGCTTTTGTTTGACTATCTTTTCGTAAAATATTTTCTAGCTAAGACAATTTTTTTTGGAAGACGGTATGACCCGGTTCCTTTTAAAAAGATCTATTTTAGCTTTTTAACATTGAAAATGTTCATCTGAGTGTACTGAGCAATCAAATTGAGCCGAGGCTAAAAATATTGATACTATCATGGAAGCAAAGTATAAAGTTAAACATATCCAAGTAAAATTTCTTCTACACAGTTGACATTCATATTTTTCCGCGTGCCGCCTTCCTTCACGTAATTATAAATTTCACAATGACAATAATACACTCTAACGTGTACCCGGCCGAAAGAAAGGAAGATTGTCTCTAGCTGAAGCAAAAAACTGCTAGTTTTGCTGAAGCGTTCGTAAGAATGAGTTGTCAATAACTGGATTATGTTCCAACTTTCAGATTCCTTTCAAGTTACTTTCCCTTTAAAAGAAATAAGAAAATAAGCACCACAGCAGTCTTTATTTTCCATTTAGCATATATTGCTTTGTTCGTAAATCTCGCCTGTCTTTTGGTTGTTTCTCTTTGTTTATTTTTTTTGTCCGTGACCTTGCATGCTGAGAGAGTTCTTTCACTACCGGCCTCGCCCAGGTAACCAAATCAATAGGATCGTTATCCGGGATGACATCTGCTAACCACAAATATCTGGAGTGGAAAGGACTGAGGAAATAAAGGAGAACACCAGAGTGGAGTGCAAATCAAATTTCAATTCTCCAGTTTAAGACGCACGCCCAAAATATTGTGAAAAAAGAGCACAAAAGTGAACCTACTGTTTTCTATTTTCAAAAATTAGAATTATAGCCAGAAAATGCTATGCGAGAGTCAGTTTAAACGAAGATAAACATGTACAAAATTCTCATTCCATTTTTCCCGCATTCCTTAATTTTCGGCCACTGTTTTCAAGATTTTCTACTCGCGGAAACGAAAAGGAATGATATCGGACACGCACTCGATAGATGCCAGGTCATGAGAGAAAAGCTATATAAACGAAGGCACGTTTTATAGAAGTCAGTGCGGCTACAATTGTCAGCGTGAACACTTTTCTTGTAATCGAAGAAAGAGCATTATTCATCAAGAGCCTGAGTTAACAAGATGAGGAACACCTTTTCCTTAGCTCTAATCTGCGTCGCTGTCTTAATTCCACTGTTTCAAGAAGGTAAATGGTATTTTTCTGTGTCTTTTACACTTTCTATCCACGTTAAAGTATTCTGATGTGTTCTTATTTTCTAGTACAGTTTATGTTATTTTTTATGGTTTTACGTTATGGCTCGTTTCGGTTTCCTAAACACTGATTGATTTCCTAAAACCTGATTGATTCGTTTTCCTGTAATTCAGTATCAATGATTAATGTCTTACTTTTTTGCATTTTTCGGCATTTTTCATTTGACCACTGTGAACTGTAGTGCGGCTTCATTCCCGGGGGGGTACTCAACAAATTTTTATACGGGGAGGCTCCGCCCGAGGTCCAATCCCTTATCCTTTTATATACCATTTTTCACGAAAAAGGTCCCCCTTTCGTATACCTTCCATTGAGAAATGGTAGCCCTTTCAAATACCTCGTTTAAAACTTTGCATCCCTTTTAACTGCTGCGAAATGCATTGTCATTTTTAAAATAGGAATCAATCACAAAAATAGAACGTTTTCCCTACGTTATAAAGCCATAAAATTCATCTGTTGGCCCTTTCAGCCCTTTCACAGACCCTAATAACAGATTTTCCTACCCTTTCATATACTTCAACGAGTAAAATCCCTACCCTTTCATATACCTGAAGCCTGAAAAAGGTCCCCCTTTCGGTCGGAGCCTCCCCGTACAGGCCATTATAGGGACTACCCCCACCCCCAGGGCTTCATTAATCTACCGAACCGTTTCTTCTACGATTTTGTTATATTTCTTTCAGCGCTCGCATTCCTCTCTTCTAGTTTCGATTTCTGGCTCACCCAAAAACTGATCCTTGGAAGATCTGATTAAGAATACAAAACCGCTTAGACGAGATTCTTATATTTCTCTTGTCCCGGTCTCACTTCAGCCACTTTAGCTGATGTCTTCCGGTCGTCTGTCGCCCACTTGTTTTTGCTGTTTGCTTGTTTTATTTTTTTCTTTCAGAATTAAAGGCTTGTACTCAAATTTCATAGAACTCTGGCCAAAAATATGCCTCACAAGTTGTAAAATATAATTGTTTTGGCTAATTTGCCTCTTGTGGGCAATCCTAATAGAAAAATAAACAGCTGACCCAAATTCTTTTTTCAAGTAAAGGGTTTCAGACGTTTTGGGGGCTTCGTCACGCGTTCCTTCCCCACGATTGCGTGAAAAAACCCAGAGAACGTACAGTAAAAACTCTAACCCTAGCCCCTGAGAACATGGTTGTTAGGAACCTTTTAGGCTAAAATTTGCCGGTGAAGCCGGCCCGCTCCGGCTATACAAGAACCTGTACAGCCGAAAATTTGAAAAAGGTACTCATTTTCTAAAATCTATTAAAAAAATTATGTACGCTTGGACAAATTCTCAAAGTTGATGATAATCCATGTAAAGCTGTACTGCATAATCTACAAAGGAAAATCTCTGTTGTTCGACTGAGCAAACGCTGAGGTCACGTTCTACACAGAGACGAGCTCATGAGTCGGGTTTGGCCTGTCAACACCTTATTTCAAAGATGAATACTACTAAATACTCGTATCTACAATGTATTTTTTCTTCAGAAAATAAGAACCTCCTTATGAACCTAAATGGCCTAATTTTCTGCTAATTTCCATATATGTAGAAACCTGTTTAGGCTGATTTAGGAAAATTAAAATGCAGCCAGGTTCTTACAAAACGGGTTTTTACTTTATTCACAGTAGCCTGTGAACAGGCTCTCTGTTTTGGGATGAGGTGAAAAAATGGCGAGGAGAGGGAAGGAAAAGGGTGAGGCTATTTTCACAATTGAATCGTATTCTCCTATTTACCTCTACAGAAACCCTAGAAGTAGGTACAACAGGGAAGTGTTCATAGGTGTGGCGTTAATGCCATTTCTCATTATTACTTTGCTACTTCTATGAAACTTTAGACGCTCAAAAATCGAGCGGCACGGATTCCGTTAAAGGGCAATCTGTGACACCAATTCCGACTCTCTTATCGATAATCTTGGCTGGAGAAAACTTGACACGCAAAGATCCTCAAAGACAAATAAAAAAAGCTACAACCGAATATAAATCACCCAATGATTATCTTTGCTCTAAATTTACTTATCGTGGCAGTGTCACCAATTACTCTTTGAGAGAGACCAACGGCAAACTGGCTATTCCTGATTGTCATTCATTCATTCATTCATTCGTTCATTCATTCATTCATTCCTTTAAGTGTTTTTATTTAACGCGAAAGAAAATAAGGAAAAATTGGTTGGTTACCATTTATAAAAAAAATTCCGGAAATTCTGGTTGGGCATTTTCGGTCGGTAAGAACGGTACGTGTCGTTTATCATTTGCCTAAAATTTCCGGATTGTCGCACCGCGCTAGACTAGATTTTAGTTACAACATGAAACTAGTACGAAACTCAAGAAACTTGTAAATGGTAACGAATTTCCATTCGGAACTTCCCAATCGGGAAAACGGGACTACCTTTTCAGAATTTCCGTTTGTCCTGGGAATTTTCCAATGGGACGAACCAAAAAAGCGTTTACCATTTACATCCCAACCGGAATTTCTGGGAATTTGTGATAAACGGTAAACAACCAATATGTCTGCCCAGCCGCCTGTACAAGGCATGGTAGCCATTCCCCTGAAAAAATCGAGTTAATTTTGAGGAGAAGGGAGGGAGCCGCCGAACACAGGTTGTCCCGACTGTTGGCGAATCTCTGAATGAAAGTAGGCCTGTTTCATACGTCATGCTATTGCCGGCCGTTCTAAGCTGGTTCGAATTCAGCACTACTGTAACGTATGACTTGGTTTCAGACGTAAAATTTAAGGACTCAGTCGAATAAAAAATCTGTTGCCGAAAACAAAACTTGAATATAAAAAGTGGTTAGTGAACTTTTAAACTGTATTCTATTGTATTTATAATTTATGTAATGAGTTCAGCACAGCAGTAGCACGAGGTTTAAAACCAAGCCGTGCCGGCTGCTGTGTGTAGCACCGCAAAACGGATTTAACCGCATTAGACTTTGGTTTATCATTATCAACCTAGTAAGCGCTTTACGGGAAACAGAAAGGGGATACCTCTCACAATGGGGGGAGGGAGGGGGGGACGGGCACTCCAGTAACCCACCACTCTAGCCAGGAGCCCATCAGGTTGATGGGCTCCTGCTCTAGCTGATTACGCATAAATTCTTTCAGGCTTTTCTTTGAGATGCCACTTGTGCTATTCGACAAAATCCTGGGATGACTGCCTGAAGAATAGCAGGAATCACACCTGCCATCTTGAAGGGGTTGAAGATTCCAGGTGGGCTTGTCTAACAACGCACACTTCTAGACTGGGAAAGAACAACCAACAGTTTGACGAATTTGCCAAGAGCTGCATAACTCTGGTAAGAATCTGAATGCATACAACCAGTTTTTAACTGTGTGACAACATGCATCTCAATCCTCAGTCCTAGAGAGGATCCTCTTTTCTTGAAACTAATTGACAAACAGTGCTTTAAGCCCAAGGGCTTTACCTTTTCTTCATGCTTTGCGGTATTTTTATTCAAAAATTATTTTTTCCCGACGTTTGATAGATCGCAGATCATTACGTCATCTGCCTATAACTCATTCTCGTCGCAGATAACTTTGCGGACTTTGGTCTGCTCATGCACAGCAAAGACGTTTTTGTCCCCAGAGTCACTCACCTTTTTGTAAGGATAGAGATACGCGAGCAAAAGAAGCGGGGGAGTCTGATGACGAGAGTGGTTTGAGGTTTTGTGCGGGTTCATTATCCTCCCACTCAGAAGGTTCGTAAGGCTTTATCACACGCGCGTTCCCCCTCCACGTGGGTGAGGAACTCGCTGCATGGGAGGGCAATAGACCATTAATCAAGGTCTTTTCCAGGCACGCCCGTCTAGAGCATGTAGAGTGAACTAAAAAAAGGCGTTCACGGCTATCTGAAGGCAAAACAAAAACTGAAGCTAAATTTCTGATTAAAACTGAACGGAAGAAATGCAAGAATACGTAAAACATTTGCTCGATGGATGTTATCTACTTTTTGTGGAATATCTTCAAGAAAAAAAAAACATATCTTTATGTCCTGAAACCGTCCCGGGAAAGGAGGGCCAAAGTTTAGGCCGAGAAAGTCAGTGCAAGGAGGTAAGTTTGTCAAGAATTCAGTTAGGAATATTTTGAATGAATAATAAAACAATTGGACATATTAAATTCTGCAAGCTGAAGACTGCAATGCTGATCGTACTACGTGAAAATTAACTCTTATTGAATTGGGCTTCCGCGGTGCCTATGATGTGAAGAATTATGTAGATCTTAGAGGATGTTATATCCACCGAGGCTGAAGGCCGAGGTGAATAACATCCTCCTCAATCTGCATAATTCTTCACATCCCACGCAGCCTCTCTCAATAAATGCTATAAAATATATATATCTTTTTTTTTTCAGGACATGTGTAATAAAGAGAGGTGCCGCGGAAGCTTTGTAAAAGGGAAGGATCTAAATACAACAAAAGCCTCCTACTGTAATCTGGAATGCTGCTTTAGAGACGATTGCAACGATATGACCCTTGCCCTCAGTTCCTCCTCAATAGCCGATTGGCTTTCGAGCAGCTTTGTGTATATGATGGTTTTTGCTGTTTGGAGTTCGACAGCTCAGTAGTTCAGGAATGTAAAACTGTTTTCATTTTTTGCGGCGAAAAAAAAGAAGACGCCTATGTTAGAAAGAGAGCTTAGGAATTGACACTGAAGTCATTTGTCAAATAGCTGAAATAGCTTGAGAGAATCACACCCGCCCACATTTTCGGCATCAATCCCATAGCCTCCAGAATTTTCCAGTGAGTTCAACCATAAATGGTGCTAATTCTTATTCAAGTTTTCTCAAAACGCAAGAATACGTTCAATGATTGCATTGTTTCCCAAAGTTTGAAAGCATGGTCACTTTACCACCTACAGCAGTACCTACTGTACGTTGTTTACAACTGAATGTCATTCGAAGACGCTAAGTGAGATGAAATCAAGCTTATTTTCAAATTCTCTTGAGTACTATACAAGTGTATGCAACAACAACAAATTACCATTTTTTGGTTACGATTATAGTGCAAAATTAAAGATAGACTAAGTTTGAATAAAAAGGATTTGTTCTGTATGACCGTTTGCCTAAATCCCTTTTGCTTAACTTCCCGGCTTACTCCCTCTTTCAGCTGTGCATTTCATACGCCGATAGGAGTTCATCGATCGAATTTTACCATTTATAATTTTTCACGTTGTCAAAGAGAATGGAACTGCGTCATCGAGCGAGCAGAGGCCCTTAGCAGCGCAGCGGACCGTACCGTTCTCATGTAAAACGGAAACGAATCTCAGACCGGGTCCTTAGATAGCATGTTTCTTTGTATGGCTCCATCATTTTTGTTTTTTCTTAGCAAAAATAGGAACACTGCTACGGATAACATCAGAAGTAGCTTCAGTGCTTGGATTAATGTGGGGGATTGCACCATTTTGAGATGCTGTACAGTACATTTTAAAAGGCCACTAGGTGAGCGTTAGCTTACAATTTTCTCATGGGAGCAGTAACTGACTCTTCGGTTGTCTACTCACTGTCTACTGGCATAACTTGTGTGCCAGTTGGGACAGTTAGTGAATAATATGTTGAATAATCGACTTGTGAAAATTATATAGCTCCAAGAATCTCCTGTTTTTTAGTTTGTAACGGTCTCATGTAATCGACCAAGCATTTCGTCCCTGTCTCATGTCACGAACGGCTGCGCAAATTACAAATGTACCGGTCTGAGTTCGTCCCGGTCTCATGTAAATACCCCCTAACTTACAAACTCTGTTGAAGGTAAAGCTTGGACATAGACTGCGAGCTGTCTCTTATTTTTCTTTGCAAAGTTACTGCACGCGAACCCCAAGCACAACGTCGTGGTTTGCAATCGCGCTGGCTGCGATAAGAACTAGACGGAAAAGGCGGACTTCAAGCAGTTTACTTGAACAAACTCAACACTGAGAACGCTATATCACGTGAATCAGAAAGGACGGCCATGGTGTCATGTTGATGCGAGCGCAAGGCTGATGGGACAGCTATGAATGGGAAATTTATTTGCCCAATATGATTTCGGTTAGACAAAACCAACTTTCGTCAGGAGCTAGTGAGGGTTAGTTTTGTTCGCCCTGTGTAATTGAACTGTCCAGAGGAAAAGACAGCACAATGAGCGTCGACAAAGGAACTCGTGGCAGGACGTGTTACATAATCAAAAACTGAATGTTTCGATTGTGAAAACTTAATAAACCCATTGTCTTGAGTAGAAAAACTTGAACTGGGGCACGAAAACATTGTCAGTCCATAATCGAAATGTCTCGCAGGAGAAAAGTCTTGCAATAAAAAGTCGCGAGTAAATTGTCTAGAACTACAACCAAAATCCAAAACGTGCAGGTTCCCAGCTTCGGTTCCGTGTGAAGGCTAGGAGGCGAAAAACAGTCTAGTTTTTTGGCGTCGCCGGTGAATCTTTCGCAGCCATAGCTTTTAGAGGACAATCAGAAGAATTCTTCCGATGCGACTCCTACTTTCGAAGACGAGTCCGGCATGCCACGCAGATATGTTTCAACCATTTGCGTTCTCCACGGATAAACCCGAAGTGGTCTTTAACGCTAATGCATTGTTCTCGCTGATAAGCGCGACAAAACAAACCTGGCGCTGAAGAAGAGGAAGTCAGCGATTTCTCCTGCAATGGGTGCTTGTAAAGGGTTCTACTTTCTAAATGAAGATATTAGTCTCCCCATGTAACAAGTCCACGCTCAATTTCGAGCAATACTGAACCATGAAAATTAAGAATGGCTGACCTTTCCTGTTGTTGGGCGAAGTACATTAAGGATACGACATGCTTTTCTCGCTCCTTGCGCTCTAAAGGACTAGTTACATAACAAAATTTGAGCGTATTCAGCTACGAACTCGGCTAATGTTAACTCCTCGTACTTAACATCGCGCTGCGCTCGTGTGAGACAAAGAAAACTGTAACCGAAACAGTACGATACAAAACTCTGGTATATGCTCGAAGTAGCCTGGGACTAGGCTCCGCATTGGGGGAAAAAGGAGGAAAAAAACGGCGTGCGCGAAAAATATCGGCGAGCGAAGCGAGCCTCGCGGTAGTCAGGGGAGGGAAACTGTAGCGCCGCCCATTTTCCCTCCCCAGACTACCGCTCGGCTCGCTTCTGTCGCCAATATTTTTCCTTTTTCACCTCTTTTTTTGCCTTTTCCTACTGCGGAGCCTAGTCCCAGGCTACGCTCGAAGTAAAAACTGACTCGAAATGAAACACGAAACTCCTACCATCTGATCCTAAAGGGTGTGTGTTGCGCAATTAATCCCTTTGAACACGTGCTTGTCCAAAGGATCAGCCTTACCTTCAACTTTAAGTGTTATTCTACATAAATGATCCTGATCTACACCAAGATCCGGCTTTCCCTTGCTGCTGTTCTCTAATGGGCAAAAATAAGCAAAAAATACTCAATATTTTATCCGTTTTTTCGACGTAGGAGACATCTGCACGCAGGTTATTTTTTTCAATCCTCAGTATTTTTTCTCTTATTAGTTCGTTCGCGGTCGTTTATTGATTTCTTTTACTCTTCATCGTAACCATTCTTAATCTTTGGCCAATAGCGTGAATTAAGGGTGATAACTGATATATACAAGAACCAAAATGGGACCGGAGTCTTGATTGATAGAATTGCTTCCGACGGATCAATTTGCTCCGCAGGACTTTGCGAAAATGAGTTTTTGAGTCGTTTTTCGGTGTTATTCTTTAAAAGCAAAGTAAGGTACGACATAGCAATTTTGAAATTGCCTCAATCCATATATCCCGCACGCAGCCCACAGTAAAGCCTTTCCATGAGTGGCTCAGATAGAACATCGCATTTGATTGGTCACTCTTGACATTGCTAACATACTGGTAACAGCCTCTCGGATTGGTTCGCAGCTCACTATAAAGTGAAGTGGCGCCAAGCCACGTTGTGTGACACAGTGAAGACTTGCTACGAAGCTACACACGGAGAAGATAGCGCTTTTGAAAACACATGTTCTGCGCGTGGAAACTCAAGCCTTCTTCTCAACAACGCTTTGTTGGCTTTGGGGAAAGTCCCCGGACCAGAGGCAGATAGTGCCAGTCGTGAAGACGCGAGTTTTTCTCGAGTCTTTTGGCGAAGAAGCGTCTTGCAGAGCTGGACGAGGGAAGGACGGTTTGTCGAAGCAAAGTTATGCAAGCTGACATCGTGGCTGTGTTCAACTCAACGGGGCTTATTCTCATTGTGTCCACCACTCTTTTTTAAATCTTCAAAAGTCAATAGCAAGTGTCAGAACTCCTTTGAACTAAAGTATGTTTGCTTTGCAGAGCGTTCAATGCTCGCCACGTGGTTCAAAGATGGCGGCGAGGGGGCGTATGGAAAAGCCGAAATCCGGAATCCGGAACCGGAGCCGGAAACGGAAACGGAACCGGAACCGGATTTTAAATTGAGACCAGGGTAAACTGGGAAGCACTGAAACCAGTTCCGATTCCCGTGTGGAAATAAAATGGTGTCCTCTGTTATCATTGTTCTGAGAAATTTTCAGCACAGTGATCGTGATACCAAAGATATACTCACATTTGGAAAGTGACTTGCAAACAAAAAAGGCAAGTGCATCCTACTGTTATTCCTAGCAGTCATAAACTGTGACTGCTGCTGTAGGTCGAGCAACTTTCGACAGATCGAGACTACAACTAATCAGAAGCCGATTGACTGCGAAAAACAGCCATTATTAGTATGTGATGTTTAAGACCGCTGTGTTATTCATTTCCTTCTCTTGAGCCTACGTTACTCATTTCTTAAAAGGGCTTCGTGTTTCATCCATTGTGAGGGAAAGGCGGCAAAGGGAGGAGGAGTACTGTTGTCAATCATGATCCCAAGTTGCAATGCTCACTCGTATATGAAATTCTCGAAGAAAAATTTTGCGCCGTGCGCAAAAAATGCGACAGTAAAAAATATACTAGCAATAAATAAATATTGTTATATTCCTAGAATTTCACTCAACTAAACAGGGACTGCCATTGGTTGATTCTTGGTCACGTGGCCTTGACTAAAATCAAATGTATCCCGATCGTGAGACATTAAACAATGTATCCCGCTCGGGATACATTGCAGCACGTGATCAAAGCATGGTGGAAAGTGGCGTGACAGAAGGCGGGAAAAACGCCGCCTGGTCCTGCCGGTTTTCTTTTTCGTGAATGAACACAACAACACAATCACGAAGCCTCAAGCTAAAAAGCAACCATTTTTAAAGTTATCCCAGAAGTTCCCAGTCGAAGAAAAACAGCAGCTAGTGGAGGAAAAAGATGCAGATGATATAAGGAAAGTATTTTTGTTTGTAAATCATTCATTCAGTGGTTTTGAGAATTAAATTTGTGTTGTTATAAGTACCGAGTCGACTGTTTTGGTTCGTTTTGGTTCGCTCCGGTTATTCTTTTGTTGCTGTTGAAGTGAAAGTTCTAGAAATATAACAAAACACTTAATGTCAGATCCCTCGGGAAAACAGTTACTTTGTTTTCCCTCGAGTCCTGATGTTTCCCTCGACTTCGTCTTGGGAAACATCAGGACTCTCGGGAAAACAAAACTAACTGTTTCCCTTGGGATCTGACATTAAGTGTATATTATGTGGGGATGAAAAGTCAGGCGTATGGAAAAGCCGGAATCCGGAATCCGGAACCGGAGCAGGAAACGGAAACGGAAACGAAACCGGAACCGGAACTTAAATTGAGACCAGGGTAAACTGGGAAGCACTGAAACCAGTTCCCGATACCCGTGTGGGAATAAAATTCAAGATGGCGTCCTCTGTTATCATTGTTTTGACAAATTTTCAGCACAGTGATCGTGATACCAAAGATATACTCACATTCGGAAAGTGACTTGCAAATAAAAAGGTAAGTGCATCCTACTGTTATTCCTAGCAGTCATAAACTGTGACTGCCGCTGTAGATCGAGCAATTTTCGACAGATCGAGACTACAACTAATCAGAAGCCGATTGACTGCGAAAAACAGCCATTATTAGTATGTTATGTTTAAGACCGCTGTGTTATTCATTTCCTTCTCTTGAGCCTAAGTTACTCATTTCTTAAAAGGGCTCCGTGTTTCAGCCATTGTGAGGGAAAGGCGGCAAAGGGAGGAGGAGTACTGTTGTCAATCATGATCCCAAGTTGCAATGCTCACTCGTATATGAAATTCTCGAAGAAAAATTTTGCGCCGTGCGCAAAAAATGCGACAGTAAAAAATATAATAACAATAAATAAATATAATGAGGGGATGAAAAGTCTTGATTGAGCAATAATTGTTAGTGACACTCTTAAGACAGAAACGTCTCCAAGTTTTATTTCTTAGATTCGGGTTCGGGTTCGGGTTCGGGTTCGGGTTCGGGTTCCGGTTCCGTTTCCGTTTCCGGGTTCCGGTTCCGGATTCCGGCTTTTCCATACGCCCAATTAGATTAGATGGATTTTCTCTATTTGTCAAACTTATTGAGAATATAGAACAGCCGGTCATTTAGTGTTTTAAAAACCTTGACCGATTACCGGCCATATTATATAGCTACTTTTTCCATCTATATAGTAAGTTTCTAATCCGTTTTTATACCGAGACAGCCGGGAAGCACGAGACTCGGACGAAGCACAAACGTCTGCGATGAACAGTCAGATTTGTTTCCTTTGATGAATGAAAATTAATGCATCGAAACGGTAATTTATTGTCACTTTCCTGCAACTAGGTGCAAACTACGCTATATTACTAAATCAAAGCAATTTCTCTGCTTTTAAATTTTCTAATGTGTCTTCCTGTTTTGCGATAAAGCTATAAAGCATAAAATTTCAAGGTGTTTATAGTGACGTGTGTGGACGTGTTTGAACAGATCGAACAGTCAAGTTGTACAATGTAACACAAAAACGGTCGTCATACGTTCTTCCTCTCGGTATACGCTTACTCGCCAAAACAAAGCCCAATAGTGTTTCTTCAACTGCAGTGAAAATTACCCACCTTTTTGGCATGTCTTCTTCTCGCAACCAGCGATCTCAACGCCGATCTTGATTAAACGGATCGAGTCACTGTCAGTTTGTCTGACAGTTCCAGGATGCATAATACTCTGGACAACACATATCACTAAACATTTCGACCAAAATAATTGTCAATAGACCACTTAACGCTACCGAATGACAAAAAAGCTGCCTCTACGCCAATGAATTTGCCGGACATCCCTCACGTGATATTCCGCCAGTACAGGCATGCGCTTAAGAGCAGAGGGCTATTCGACGACGAAGGAAATTAAAACCCGTCTCCGTCTCTTCCTGAAGGGAAGGCCGGTTAAAAAGCTATTTAAACGAAGGCTCGTTTTATAGAAGTTAGTGCGGGTACAATTGTAAGCGTAAACACTTTTCTTGTAATCGAAGAAAGAGCATTATTCATCAAGAGCCTTAGTTAACAAGATGAGGAACACCTTTTCTTTAGCTCTAATCTGCGTCGCTGTCTTAATTCCACTGTTTCAAGAAGGTAAATAGCATTTTTCTGTATCTTTTACCCTCTCTATTCATGTTAAAGTATTCTGATAAGTTCTTATTTTCTAGTACAGTTTATCTTATTTTTTACGATTTTACGTCATGGCTCGTTTCGGTTTCCTAAAAACTGAAATTGATTCCTGTAATTCAGTATCAATGATTAATGTCTTACTATTTTGCATTTTTCGGCATTTTTCATTTGACGACTGTGAACTGTACTGCGGCTTCATTCCCGGGGGGATACTCAACAAATTTTTATACGGGGAGGCTCCTCCCCGAGGTCCAATCCCTTACCATTTTATTTACCCCTTTCGTATACCTTCTCATGAGAAATGGTACCCCTTTCAAATACCTCGTTTAGAACTTTGCATCCCTTTTAACAGCTACGAAATGCATTGTCATTTAAATAGGAATCAATCACAAAAATAGAACGTTAGCCCTTTGAGCCCTTTCACAGACCCTAATAACAGATTTTCCTACCCTTTAATATACTTCAACGAGTAAAATCCCTACCCTTTCATATACCTGAAGCCATACAAAGGTACCCCTTTCGGCTGGAGCCTCCCCGTATAGGCCATTACAGGGACTACCCCCAGCCCCAGGAACCGTTTCTTCTACGATTTTGTTATATTTCTTTCAGCGCTCGCATTCGTCCATTATTTTAGATTTCTGCCTCGCAAAAAAACTGATCCTTAGAAGATCTGATTAAGAATAAAAAACCGCTTAGACGAGATTCTTATATTTCTCTTGTCCCGGTCTCACTTCAGCCACTTTAGCTGATGTCTTCCGGTCGTCTGTCGCCCACTTGCTTTTGCTGTTTGCTTGTTTTATTTTTTTCTTTCAGAATTAAAGGCTTGTACTCAAATTTCATAGACCTCTGTCCAAAAATATGCCTCACAAGTTGTAAAATATAATTGTTTTGGCTAATTTGCCTCTTGTGGGCAATCCTAATAGAAAAATAAACAGCTGACCCAAATTCGTTTTTCAAGTAAAGGGTTTCAGACGTTTTGGGGGCTTCGTCACGCGTTCCTTCCCCACGATTGCGTGAAAAAACCCAGAGAACGTACAGTAAAAACTCTAACCCTAGCCCCTGAGAACATGGTTGTTAGGAACCTTTTAGGCTAAAATTTGCCGGTGAAGCCGGCCCGCTCCGGCTATACAAGAACCTGTACAGCCGAAAATTTGAAAAAGGTTCTCATTTTCTAAAATCTATGAAAAAATTATGTACGCTTGGACAAATTCTCAAAGTTGATGATAATCCATGTAAAGCTTTACTACATAATCTACAAAGGAAAATCTCTGTTGTTCGACTGAGCAAACGCTGAGGTCACGTTCTACACTGAGACGAGCTCATGAGTCGGGTTTGGCCTGTCAACACCTTATTTCAAAGATGAATACTACTAAATACTCGTATCTACAATGTATTTTTTCTTCAGAAAATAAGAACCTCCTTATGAACCTAAATGGCCTAATTTTCTGCTAATTTCCATATATGTAGAAACCTGTTTAGGCTGATTTAGGAAAATTAAAATGCAGCCAGGTTCTTACAAAACGGGTTTTTACTTTATTCACAGTAGCCTGTGAACAGGCTCTCTGTTTTGGGATGAGGTGAAAAAATGGCGAGGAGAGGGAAGGAAAAGGGTGAGGCTATTTTCACAATTGAATCGTATTCTCCTATTTACCTCTACAGAAAACCGAGAAGTAGGTACAACAGGGAAGTGTTCATAGGTGTGGCGTTAATGCGATTTCTCATTATTACTTTGCTACTTCTATGAAACTTTAGAAACTCAAAAATCGAGCGGCACGGATTCCGTTAAAGGGCAATCTGTGACACCAATTCCGACTCTCTTATCGATAATCTTGGCTGGAGAAAACTTGACACGCAAAGATCCGCAAAGACAAATAAAAAAAGCTACAACCGAATATAAATCACCCAATGGGTTAGCTCCTTATTATCTTTGCTCTAAATTTACTTATCGTGGCAGTGTCACCAATTACTCTTTGAGAGAGACCAACGGCAAACTGGCTATTCCTGATTGTCATTCATTCATTCATTAATTCGTTCATTCATTCATTCATTCCTTTAAGTGTTTTTATTTAACGCGAAAGAAAATAAGGAAAAATTGGTTGGTTACCATTTATAAAAAAAATTCCGGAAATTTTGGTTTTGGCATTTTCGGTCGGTAAGAACGGTACGTGTCGTTTATCATTTGCCTAAAATTTCCGGATTGTCGCGCCGCGCTAGACTAGATTTTAGTTACAACATGAAACTAGTACGAAACTCAAGAAACTTGTAAATGGTAACGAATTTCCATTCGGAACGTCCCAATCGGGAAAACGGGACTACCTTTTCAGAATTTCCGTTTGTCCCGGGAATTTTCCAGTGGGACGAACCAAAAAAGCGTTTACCATTTACATCCCAACCGGAATTTCTGGGAATTTGTGATAAACGGTAAACAACCAATATGTCTGCCCAGCCGCCTGTACAAGGCATGGTAGCCATTCCCCTTAAAAAGTCGAGTTAATTTTGAGGAGAAGGGAGGGAGCCGCCGAACACAGGTTGTCCCGACTGTTGGCGAATCTCTGAATGAAAGTAGGCCTGTTTCAAACGTCATGCCATTGCCGGCTGTTCTTAGCTGGTTCGAATTCAGCGCGACTCCAGCACTACTGTAACGTAATACTTGGTTTCAGAAGTAACATTTAAGGACTCAGTCGAATGAAAAATCTGTTGCGGAAAACAAAACTTGAATATAAAAAGTGGTTAGTGAACTTTTAAACTGTATTTTATTGTATTTATAATTTATGTAATGAGTTCAGCACGGCAGCAGCGCGGGGTTTAAAACTAAGCCTTGCTGGCTGCTGTGTGTAGCACCGCAAAACGGATTTAACCGCATTAGACTTTGGTTTATCATTATCAACCTAGTAAGCGCTTTACGGGAAAGAGGAATGGAATACCTCTTACAATGGAAGGAGGGAAGGGGGGACGGGCACTCCAGTAACCCACCACTCTAGCTGATTACGCATTAATTCTTTCAGGCTTTTCTTTGAGATGCCACGTGTGCTATTCGACAAAATCCTGGGATGACTGCGTGAAGAATAGCAGGAATATCACCTGCCATATTGAAGGGGTTGACGATTCCAGCTTGGCTTGTCAAACAGCGCACGCTTCTAGACTGGGAAAGAACAACCAACAATTTGACATCTTTTACAAGAGCTGCGTAATTCTGGTAAGAATCTGAATGCATACAACCAGTTTTTAACTGTATGACAACATGCATCTCACTCCTCAGTCTTAGAGAGGATCCTCTTTTCTTGAAACTAATTGACAAACAGTGCTTTAAGCCCAAGGGCTTTACCTTTTCTTCCTGCTTTGCGGTATTTTTATTCAAAAATTATTTTTTTCCCGACGTTTGATAGATCGCAGATCATTACGTCATCTGCCTATAACTCATTTTCGTCGCAGATAACTTTGCAGACTTTGGTCTGCTCATGCACAGCAAAGGAAAGACGTTTTTGTCCTCAGAGCCACTCACCTTTTTGTAAGGATAGAGATACGCGAGCAAAAGAAGCGGGGAGTCTGATGACGAGAGTAGTTTGAGGTTTTGCTACGGGTTCATTATCCTCCCACTCAGATGGTTCGTAGGTTTTTATCACACGCGCGTTCCCCCTCCACGCGGGTGAGGACCTCGCTGCATGGGAGGGCAATAGACCATCAATCAAGGTCTTTTCCAGGCACGCCCGCCTAGGTCATGTACAGTGAACTAAAAAAAGGTGTTCACGGCTATCCGAAGGCAGAACAAAAACTGAAGCTAAATTTCTGATTAAAACTGAACGGAAGAAATGCAAGAATGCGTAAAACGTTTGCTTGATGGATGTTATCTACTTTTTGTGGAAAATCTTCAAGAAAAAAAAAACATCTCTTTATGTCCTGAAACCGTGCCGAGAATGGTGGGCTAAAGTTTAGGCCGAGAAAGTCAGTGCAAGGAGGTAAGTTTGTAAAGAATTCAGTTAGGAATATTTTGAATGAATAAAAAAACAATTAGACATATTAAATTCTGCAAGCAGAATACTGCAATACTGATCGTCACGGTACTACGTGAAAATGAACTCTTATTGAATTGGGCTTCCACGGTGTGATGTGAAGAATTATGCAGATGTACATAAGGCTGAAGGCCGAGGTGAATAACATCCTCCTCAATCTGCATAATTCTTCACATCCCACGCAGCCTCTCTCAATAAATGCTAAATATATATCATGTTTTTTTTTTCAGGAAATGTGTAGTAAAGAGAAGTGCCGCAAAGAGTTTATAAAACCGAAGGATCTAAATACAACAAAAGCCTCCTACTGTGATCTGGAATGCTGCTTTAGAGACGATTGCAACGATATGACCTCGGAAGCTATTGCCCTCCGTTTCGCCCTTTCGGGGGCGAGTTTGACGAAGTCAATAGCCGATTGGCTTTCCAGCAGCTTTGTATATATGATGGTTTCTGCTGTTTGGAGGTCGATAGCTCAGTAGTTCAGGAATGTAAAACTGTTTTCATTTTATTCGGCGACTGAAAAAGAAAACGTCAATGTTAGCAAGAGAGCTGGGGAATTGACACTGAAGTCGTTTGTCAAATAGCTGAAATAGCTTGAGAGAATCTCACCAGCTAATATTTTTTGGCATCAATCCCATAGTCTCCAGTATTTTCCAGTGAGTTCAACCATAAATAGTGCTAACTCTTATTCAAGAACACGTTCACTAATTGCATTGTTTCCAAAAGTTTGAAAGCATGGTCACTTTACCCACAGCAGTAGCTATGGTACGTTGTTTACAACTGAATGTCATTTGAAGAAGCTAAGTGAGATGAAATCAAGCTTATTTTCAAATTCTCTTGAGTACTATATACAGTGTAAGTGTATGCAACTACAACAAATTAACACTTTTCTCAAACAAACTGGTAATCAATCACAAATAGTAATAAAATAAAAAGGATTTGTTCTGTATGACGGTTTGCCTAAATCCCTTTTGCTTAACTTCCTTGCTTACCCCCTCTTTCAGCTGTGGATTTCATACGCCGATGGGGGTTCATCGATTGAAGAATTTTGCCAATTATAATTTTCAACTTTGTCAAAGAGAATGGAACTGCATCATCGAGTTTTGCTGACGGAATTAAAACTAAGGGGGTATTGACATGAGACCGAGACCGGAACGAACTCAGACCGGTATCAGTTAGTATCGGTCTCCATACATTTCTTTTTATGCGTTTACATGGGACCGGCCTAAAAATGAATTCAGACCGGTCGCAGAAAAGTCCTACCGTCGCTTACCCGACACGAGATACTTTCCGGCCGTACTTCCGGTGACCGTACAGTCCTCATGTAAAACGGAAACGAATCTCAGACCGGGTCCTTAGATAGCATATTTCTTCGTATGGCTCCACCATTTTTGTTTTTTCTTAGAAAAAAATAGGAACATTGCTACGGATAACATCAGAAGTAGCTTCAGTGCTTGGATTGATGTGAGGGATCGCACCATTTTGAGATGCTGTGCAGTAAATGTTAACAGGCCACTAGATGAGCGTTAGCTTACAATTTTCTCATGGAAGCAGCACCTGAATCTTCGGTTGTCTACTCACTGTCTACTGGCATAAATTGTGTGCCAGTTGGGACAGTTAGTGAATAACATGTTCAATAATCGACTTGTGAAAGTTCACGCCGAAACGCCCCCGACGTTCACGCCGAAACCCCCCCGGAAAATCTATCAGTTTCACAAGGACAACTTTGTCGGTTAAGAGGCAAGCTTAACCACTCTTTCTTCCGATTATCTATCCACCCACCCAGTTTGTAACAACAACAAAGTAGTTACTTTATTTAAAGAAATATAAAGTTTACAATTTTATTTCCTGATAGCTATAATGCTAATCTAGGCAGGACAAGACTTTACATAAAGACGTTATTAATTACACAAGAAAAAAGAAAAGAAAAGAAATACAAAAACATACAGATTGAAACACTGTGGACGACAACTGGTCCTACATTTGAAGCCACCGACAACTTCATATCACATGGAATGTCTAAGGGGAAGCGTCACCTCCCCTGGGTCAACTCCTCTGTGAAACGTTTAATGAACAAACGTAATCGAGCGTACAAGAAGGCTTGTCATAGCGGCAAAGCCGTTCACCCTACCAAATACAAGCGACTTCGCAATATCACAACCAAACGGTTACGTGTTGCCCATGACGAAGCTAAAAAGAAGGCTATGAGAGTTTTGAGGATCCTTCTGAAAGGAATCTCTCATCGTGCGATCGACCGGTTAAGGTACGTGCATACCTATCCTTAGTAAGTCCAATTGTTGAATACGCCACGGTTGCTTGGTCTCCGCACACAAATAAAGGGATTGACTGTATCGAATCCGTTCAACGCCGCGCAGCACGTTTTGTTAACAGCAGCCTGGGACCAGGCTCCGCATTGGGGGAAAAAGGAGGAAAAAATCGGCGAGCAAAGCGAGCCGAGCGGTAGTCTGGGGAGGGAAAGGGTAGCACCGCCCATTTCCCCTCCCCAGACTACCGCTCGGCTCGCTTCTCTCGCCAATATTTTTCCTATTTCACTACAGGTAGCCTAAGCTCGAAATATGAGCATCAGCGAGCATCGGCATTGTTGTGTAACATTCAAAATATAAGGATTTGTATCGGAAAAAACCTATCGTTTCTGTAACCTACGAAAATGAAAGGATTTCAATAAAAAAACAGCTTATCTTACTTAAAATGTGTGTTACGTCTCTCCTGTGTGGTCCACGGGCCGATTTATGGCCGTTTTATGGGTTTTTATGTAAACGGTTTTCTCTCTACATAAAAACCTTTATATACGGAAACGATAGGTTTTTTTCCCATACAAATCCTTATATTTTGAATGTTACGCAACAATGCCGATGCTCGCTGATGCTCATATTTCGAACTTGTACGGTGGCCCGTAAGGGACATTACAATATATATATTTTTTGCTCAAGTTATCGCGCGATAAGTTTAAATTATCGCGCGATAACTTTGAATTATCGCGCGATTATTAGTCAGTTTATCGCGCGATAATTAGTCAGTTTATCGCGCGATGAATTGCAACATATCACATGAAAAAGAGAAGCTGGAACGTTGCATGCATGTATACATGCATTATCTTGATGTTAACCCTTTCTTTATCATACTAAGAAGGAGTAGTAGTCTAACTTTTAAGTCAGCTTAATAGGGTTCATTTGAGTTGCCAAGCTAGATTTCCAAGGAAGGATTACAGCATTTTAATCCTGAAGGAAAAGGGGAGTAATTACCGGGGCCCAGCCGAAGGCTGGCACCGGTCTTAGAATGCAGACGGTCCGTTTTTTCAACGTTACATTGTTAGGGATATATCGCTGACTGAGATATATCGCGGGCTCATTGAAATCTTGTCCGCCATTTTGAAAAGAACGAGGCATGGAGGACAGTCAAGAGAAAGATTATAGCTTTTTGGGGAACGACACGTTCCCCAACCTTTACGATGCACTAGTTTATGAGCGAAAATTTAAGAGTGAATATTTGGAGAGAAATTTACGAGCGATCACTTAAGAGTGAACCTTCCATCGTGAAACTTATCGAGAAATTGAGTGAACCTTCTATCGTGAAATTTATCGAGAATCAAAGCGAACACTTATCAAAATTTGTCTTCAAAAAGATTTCAATGATTGACATACCGAAGTCTTCAAAGCTCCATCGCTATGTTAGTAAGGTGAGAAAACTTTATCATGCACGATATAAATGTAATAACAAACGCGATCCAAAGATAATTAACTTAAATAAAATGGCTATACCCAAGAAAGCTTATTTGTTGTCTTTCTTTAGCAGGCATTATCACAGGATAATGAAACTAAACTGTAAAGCACGTCGATACTTATCATTGTTTTCTTGCAATTGTGTGAGTCATATGACCAATTATGTGAATTTCAAACTAAGTAAAGATGTTGAGAAGAATTCAGGACCTACTCAATACAACACTGATCATCATGAAGTAATAATTAGACCTTCTATGCAAAATCACAGCTCAACAATGCAGTTGAACTCTCCTATTTCCTCTGAGAATTTGATGAAGTCTAGATTAGGTGCACTTTGTTTACAATCAATAGATGTTGGCAGTGCAGGTGATTGTTTCTTTAGATCTGTATCACATCAATTATATGGCAGTAGCAACCATCATATGCATGCATATACGTACTGCTGGGGTTCAATTTATGAGAGACAATCCAGAGAGATTTATTGAGAGCAATACCGAAAATTCATGGCTAAGATATCTGAGTAATATGTGTATTCAAGGTACATGGGCTGATGCACTTATCATTCAAGCAGTTGCAGATATGCTACTGTTTACCCAGTTCAGGAAAGAAATACTTCCTCTACAATTATTATAGGTCATATTGATGAATGCTACTATGTATCAACCACTGCCTTACAATCAAGTGCCTCCATTTCAATGTGCAATGAATTAACAAATGATACTCAGTCATCAATAAATAAGCATTTTATTATGTCTATATATAACACTGGATGGCATTTTTTACAGTGCAAGACAACAATCCATGACCACAAAGATCTATTTCAAAAATGTCTTATGTCTGTTATCATTTCAAATTCACAGTGTTTTCGCAAAAAATAGATAAATGTGATTAATAAATCTCAATGATAAACCTGATGATAACGTACTTGAGAAAATGTGAAATTGTGATAATTCTGTAACAAACTTCTTTGCAAACTTTGTCATTACCATTCAACCCAAAACTGTCAGTGATTTTTGCTTTTTCACTCAAACTTAAAAACAAATGAAAACCTTATACAGATGACACTTATTGACATCACAGTGTTACTAAAAACACTACTATAACACAGACTGTTAGCTGTAATAACACTGAACAAACTTCCAACAACATCCTCCTTTCTCATGCATTTTGTTGCTTTTCTTCTGCATGAGTAAATTCAGACTAAGTATTGGCCTCCACAGAGGAGGGGGGAGGGGTGCGAGAGGTAAACTATATCTATGCAATCCCGTGTCCCACTGGGCCCCGGTAAGTTCCACGTAGTGGTTCTAGTTAAGATTTACAATTGCTATATATATGTAATCAAGTATCTCTCGTTTCAAAACTATACAGTGACAATCAAGCCAGGTTACTTCTTAGCTTCAAGTTTAAAGTATTTCATTGTCCAACAATGGTCCTTTTGTTAAGTGAAGTGAATAAAGGTTATGTTCTTGTTATGTATTTACAGAAAAGGACTGAGTTCTCTGGGGGATTAGCATGCGCAATAATTAAATGTTAACATGCGAAAATGCAAGCGGTGACAGGCCGCACATCCATACCGGCGTGAAACCTTGTGTTGACCTTTTATATTTTAGCTCTAACGAGCATGTACTTCAGGGATTTTCCTTTCTTGTTGAAAATGATAGGTGGTTCTTTAAAAATTTGGCGAAGTAACGGTTGGTTTTGTATAAGATTCCATTTTTTCATTAAAACTTCTTTTATAGTAGACACTGAGGGCTGGTACTGTGTCACGAAAGGCAATATTTCTTTTTTTTCTTTTTTGTTGTGTTTCAGGAGTGCAGACTCCCTCTCTATGAACTTTATATCTGATAGAAGGTGTTCTATCATAGTTTGTGGGTAGCCTTTGTCAATCAAGCGTTCTTTGAAATTTGAGTTGCTAGCCTTAAAAACATTCTTAAGAAACACTGGCAACTGATAGAGAACCAACCTCTTCTTAGACAGATCTACAAAGAACCTCCAATTATAACGAGGAAGGTCTCTCAAAGATATACTTGTAAAAGCTAAACTCTGAGAATTAAAGGCTATAAACACGTGGGTGGAAAGCGTGAGTTAGGCTTCTCTTTATCATGTCATATTAATTGCAATTTATCGCGCGATAAACTGACTAATTATCGCGCGATAATTTTCTCATTTATCGCGCGATAATTTTCTTATTTATCGCGCGATAATTTTAACTTATCGCGCGATAAGTTTGAATTATCGCGCGATAACTTAAGCAAAAAAAAAAAAAATTGTAATGTCCCTTACGGGCCACCGTAGATTTACCTCTTTTTTTTTTTGCCTTTTCCTACTGCGGAACTTGGTCCCAGGCTACGCTCTAAGCAAAAACTGACTCGAAATAAAACACGAAACTCGTATCACCTGATACTAAAGGGTGTGTTGCGCAATTAATCCCTTTGAACACGTGCTTGTCCAAAGGGGGTAAAAAACTGATCAGCTTTGCCTTCAATTTTCAGTGTTATTCTACATAAATGATCCTGATCTACACCAAGATCCGGCTTTCCCTTGCTGCTGTTATCTAATGGGCAAAAATAAGCAAAAAGTAATCAATATTTTATGTGTTTTTTCGACGTAGGAGACGTCTGCACGCAGGTTTTTTTTTTCAATCCTCAGTATTTGTTCTCTTACTAGTTCGTTCGCGGTCGTTTGTTTATTTCTTTTACTCTTCATCGTAACCATTCTTAATCTTTGGTCAATAGCTTGACTTAACAAGAAAGAGCAAGCAAACTACGTCAAACGAGGGTGATAACTGATATATACAAGAACCAGAATGGGACTCTTGATATATAGAATTGCTTCAGACTGATCAATTTGCTCCGCAGGACTTAGCGAAAATGAGTTTTTCGGTGTTATTCTCTAAAAGCAAAGTAAGGTACGACAGAGAAATTTTGAAATTGCGAGTGGCTCAGATAGAACGTCGCATTTGATTGGTCACTCTCGACGTTGCTAACATACTAGTAATAGCCTCTCGGATTGGTTCGCAGCTCGCTATAAAGAGTGGTGACGCCAAGCCACGTTGTGTGACACAGTGAAGACTTGCTCCGAAGCGGGTGTCCGGAAAACTAAGACCTAAGACCTAAGACCCGGAAAACTAAGACCCGGAAAACTAAGACCCAGTGGTAAAATGAATGAAATGAATGCACACTTACAAATAACAATTTAAGGTGGCTCAAAACAGTTTCCAGCACTTTCCAAGATGATTATGATGGGTTATTATAACCACTCTTTGTCTTTTTCAGGGTAAATCGTCCAATTTTAGCTTAATATACGTGTCTCCTTGCTTTTACTTGCTTTTACTGAGCCGACATTTTGTTTTCACGAAAAGTAAAAGCTAGTTTACGGTAGACCGTGTTGCGGGTAAACTGGAGTGAGCACTGCAAGCCGTAATCAAGCTTCCGGGGATTCTCATTCCCATTGGCCTTTTAGTTTCCCTTGGGGCTCTGAGGTTAGATTCTAAGAATTCCAGTCTTCATGTATGCAGTAATAAATGTTTCAAAAGTATTTATGAGAGAGTGGTTGCGTTGTTGCGTTGTTGCGTTCATATGGGGCGCCGTTTGTAAAAAAATTGATTTAGCTTAATTTTGTCATTTTTTTACTTATTTATTAAATAAAGTTTTCTGATATGATATCATACGTCAATGATTTGATATAATAAATGTTGATTTCAAATCATGCGTTTATGATTTGATATAATAAATTATTATTTAAAATCATGCGTTTATGATTTGATATAATAAATTATTTTTTCAAATCATACCTTTATGATTTGATATAATAAATATTGATTTCAAATCATAAGTTTATGATTTGATATAATAAATCCTGATTTCAAATCATAAGTATATGATGTGATATAATAAATCCTGATTTCAAATCATTCCTTTATGATTTGATATAGTAAATCCTGATTTCAAATCATAAGTTTATGATTTCATATAATAAGTTCTGATTTTAAATCATAAGTTTATGATTTGATATAATAAATCCTGATTTCAAATCATAAGTATATGATTTCATATAATAAAAATCATTATTTGATATCAGTAAAACCATGATTTAATTTAATAAGTAATAAGTAACCGCGTAACTTGGCACGTGGGTTACTAGCGCGGGAATAATCGCAAAGATGGCGACACAACCAGATCAGCTATCGAGGTCAATCGCTTCTGCGGTCTCTAGAGCCGTAGAAAGGGCGGTTGACCAAGCTTTGGCATCCCTTCCGAGCCTTCCTGGTAATTCAGGTTTTGCTCCTGCGACACAAGAGGTATGTAACATTGATGTATCACTGTTAAAGCATCCCAGTCGCTGCCGGGGTGATGACCTGTGTGTCGATGTGATTAACAAAAAAATCATTATTGATGTCTTCCAAGCGCCTCATCTATTTCGTACATGTTTCACTGCATCATTAGTTAAGGGGATTGCACGTTAATCGGAAAGCTATGACTATATTTACGAGGGAAAGAGGACTTTCATTCACTGTATGTTATTTTAGTATGGCTACTAAAAGGACATAACAAAGGAAGCAAACACATCTAAAACTAAGCCGCGCGTGTCACGCAATGCGCCAGACAAGCGACAGGTCCAAAAGTCCTCTTTCCCTCGTAAATATAGTCATAGCTTTCCGCTTAACATGCAATCCCCTTAACTAATGATGCAGTACAACATGTAAGAAATAGATGAGGCGCTTGGAAGACATCAATAATGATGTTTTTGTTAATCACATCGACACACAGGTCATCACCCCGGCAGCGACTGGGATGCTTTAGCAGTGATACATCAATGTTACATACCTCTTGTGTCGCGGGAGCAAAACCTGAATTGCCAGGAAGGCTCGGAAGAGATGCCAAAGCTTGGTCAACCGCCCTTTCTACGGCTCTAGAGACCGCAGAAGCGATTGACCTCGATAGCTGATCTGGTTGTGTCGCCATCTTTGCGATTATTCCCGCGCTAGTAACCCACGTACCAAGTCACGCGGTTACTTATTACTTATTAAATTAAATCATGGTTTTACTGATATCAGATAATGATTTTTATTATATGAAATCATATACTTATGATTTGAAATCAGGATTTATTATATCAAATCATAAACTTATGATTTAAAATCAGAACTTATTATATGAAATCATAAACTTATGATTTGAAATCAGGATTTACTATATCAAATCATAAAGGAATGATTTGAAATCAGGTTTTATTATATCACATCATAAACTTATGATTTGAAATCAGGTTCCATCACATGACCAGAAGGCGGAGATCCCATGAGATAGCACAGCGCTTGCGCAAGTCATTGCACGATTCGCGCTCAACGCGTAAAGTTCGTTCTTCGGATAACACCAGAATTTCTTTGGTTTTCTTACACGTATAGCTGGAGAGGCTCACGTAGTTGGTCTCAATTACACCCAGCTCAGGCGCTAACGTAGTTAGGGGCCAGTAATTAAGCGACCACGGCTCAAAATATGACACAAACCCCGGACGACGTTGGGATGAATATCACTGCCGAACAGGGTCAATCGTCGGAGAAGGCCTCCGCGAATGCGGAGCTTGCGAACCTGTTTACGGCTGCTATGGCCCCTTTCGTGGGTCAGATGACCAAACTTACCGAAAATGTCAGTCTGCTGTTGAGCGGTCGCGATCCAGAGTCGGAGGAGGACGGTGAAACCGCCTCTGCCGAAGCAGTCGAAGACTCTGGTCATGAAGGAGTAGATATGGAAGCAAGTCTATCTGCCATCCTGGACTCTAAGACCACGGATAAAGCAGCGCCCAGGACAGGCGACGCTTTTTTACAAGAGCTCGCTCAAGATCTCTCGGTCAGAGAGCAAACCTCCCCGCCAATTCATGAAGGTCTGGCGGGCATTTTTAATGGGCTTTTGTCAGAAAAGATGCCCGATGACAAGATCAAGGCGAAGCTCGACAAATATACACGGCCCGAAAACATCAACGGCTTGAGAACGCCGAAGGTTAACCCCCTAATTTGGAGCCAGCTGTCCGCCACAATGAAAGCACAAGATGCTAGATCTCAGAAAGGGCAAAATGCTCTCATCGGCTCCGTAATAGCCATGACCAAGGCTACCGATTTGGTTCTTGCAAAGTACAGCCAGGATAAAGATCTGACTACCCTCTTGACAGACGCTATTGCAATGGCGCTTCAAATCAACCACGAGGTTAACCACTCGCGGCGCGTGGCAATGAAGAAGGAATTGCATAAAGATTATGCAGCACTCTGCAACTCGTCCACTGTTGAAGGCTCTTCGGAGCTGTTGTTTGGCGACCTCTCCAAACTTGCTAAGGACATTTCCGAAGCCAACAAGTTAACTAAGAAGGTTCGCCCGTCGCATTCCACGAATTCCGGTGACAAGTACGGGGGACGCTCAAGTTATGGTTCGAGCCAGGGAAACAGAAGATTTCACCCCTACTCAAAAGGGAAGGCCTATAATTTTTTAGGCAACAGCCGCTTCTCCAAACAAAGAAAGAAAAAGGACGGAGAGACGAGTCAGCGGCAATGAAAATGCCAGAGGTATGTGATGAAAACATGACTCTCCCTAAAGGCCTCGAGCCTAGTATACTAAGTACACTCAAATTACAAACTAAATTTCAAGCAGGACAGCTTCGAAATTTCTTACCTCAATGGAAAACTGTAACAACCGATCCCACTGTACTTCAATTTGTTTCCGGGGTCAAAATAGAATTTCAAAACAATTCTCTGCCCACGCAACAACATAAGAGACCCAGTGTTTTTAACACTAAACAGCATGCTATTGTTAAAGCGGAAATCGATAAACTGCTCACTAAAGGTGTTATTATACCCGCGGCACAGGAAGCGGGGGAGTTTATCTCTACCATATTCCTTAGACCGAAAAAGGATGGCACGCACCGCACCATTCTCAATCTTAAAGAGTTTAACGAATTCGTAGCTTATCATCATTTTAAGATGGATACCCTAGAGGCGGCCATCAGTATGATGAAACCAGGCTGCTTTATGGTATCAGTTGATCTCAAGGATGCTTATTACACCGTTCCCATTCACCCCTCTCACCAGAAATATCTCAAGTTTTGTTTCGACGGCGCTTTCTATCAATACACTTGCCTACCTAACGGCCTCGCCAGTGCGCCTCGTATTTTCACAAAATTACTCAAACCTGTCTATGCTACACTTCACAGCATGGGTCACTTAAATTCAGGCTACATTGATGATTCTTATCTCCAAGGGGATACTGTTGCGGACTGTCAATAAAACGTTGGAGACACTGTCACGTTATTTACCAGCCTAGGGTTTTTCATCCATCCAGAAAAGTCGGTTTTCGTTCCTACCCAGCGGTTGACGTTCTAAGGGTTTGTTCTGGATTCGATTAGGATGACAGTTACGCCTACCGAAGCAAAAATCCAGAAAATCAAATCTAGTTGCGACACTCTCCTGAAGACCCCCATGCCCACTATAAAACAAGTCGCAGAGGTTATCGGCATTTTGGTGTCCAATTTCCCCGGAGCTCAATACGGGCCACTTCATTACAGAAACGTGGAACGTGACAAATATCTCGCCCTCGTGTTTAACAAAGGAAATTATGAAGGGAAATTACGGCTATGCCCCATGGCGCTACAAGAAATCCGCTGGTGGCTAAATAATGCTATTACCTTACACAGAGATATTCAACATCCCCGCCCCAGCGTGACAATTCAATCGGATGCGTCCAAATTGGGGTGGGGAGCGGTTTTTGGGGCACAGAAAACAGGGGGAAGGTGGACCCCTGCGGAAACCGAATCTCACATCAACGTATTGGAACTGCTTGCGGCTTTCTTTGCCCTAAAATGTTATTGTAGCAAAATGGGGAACTGTCACATACAGCTTCAGATCGACAATACCACGGCCATTGCGTACACTAACAACATGGGGGGCTCTAAATCAAAAGAACTTGATCAATTGGCTTTTCAAATTTGGGAATGGTGTATAACTAGGCACATTTGGCTCTCCGCTGTTCATATTGCTGGTCGGCTGAATACCGGTGCTGATGAAAAATCTCGCGTGTTTTCGGACAACCATGAGTGGATGTTAAACAAACAGTTGTTTGACGACATCCTATCACACCACCCTGGGCTGGATTGTGATTTTTTTGCCAGCAGATTAAATTTTCAGATCAGCACTTACTGCTCGTGGCGCGGAGATCCACACAGTGCCCACATCGATGCTTTTACTATGAACTGGAGTGGTTACAAATTTTATGCATTTCCACCTTTCAGCCTCCTCCCCAAATGTTTACAGAAAATCAGACAAGACAGAGCGCACGGAATACTCATTGCTCCTCTTTGGCCAACACAGCCGTGGTTCCCTCTCCTGCTACAATACCTGTGCGATCAACCTTGGATTCTGCTTCCACGCCCGGACCTTCTGAAACACCCCTCACACAGTCGACCCCACCCACTGCACAAGAAACTCCACCTAATGGTATGTCCTGTGTCAGGGGAGCCTTCAGCCGCTACAACCTTTCAGAAGAAGTTACCGATGTGCTCATGGCCTCTTGGAGGTCAGGCACGCAGAAACAGTACCAAACCTATCTTAACAAATGGATGGCGTTTTGCGGTGAGAGGAAGATTGCTTACTATTCACCACCACTAAATGAAGCCCTCCAATTTCTTGTACGATTATTTAATCAAGGACTGAGTTATTCCGCGCTAAACACTGCCCGCTCTGCTCTTTCTGCAATTATTATAACGGAAGGTTGGGAGTCTTTCGGTACTAATTGCGTTGTAACTCGATTTATGAAAGGAGTATTTGAATCACGGCGACCAAAACCTAAGTACACAAAAATTTGGGATGTCGGAGTAGTTTTGAAACATTTGTCTACGTTATACCCGTATGACAAATTGGCATTGAAAGATTTGACGTATAAAGTTCTCATGTTAATCTTACTAGTCTCGAGTCAAAGAGGACAAACTGTACACTCTTTAGACCTCAAGCACCTTTGTGTGGAAGAGGACAAATACATATTTGACATTGATGAACACATGAAGACCAGTAGTCCAAGGAACCCTAATACAAGAATCGAAATAGCTAGATATGAGCCGGATGTTTCCATTTGTCCTTTCACTTGCCTTAAGGCGTATATTAACAGCACAAAAGTTTTGCGTAATGATGAAACGAAATTATTTGTTAGTTATGTTAGGCCACATAAACCTGTCTCCAGGGACACAATTTCCAGGTGGACAAAGGAAACCCTCCACCTTTGTGGGGTGGATACCAAAGTGTTCTCCGCCCATAGCACTAGGTCGGCCTCTGTTTCAAAAGCCAGTGCCAAAGATGTCCCTGTTCACGAGATCATGGCCAGGGCTGGCTGGAAATCCGCAGAGACTTTTCATAAATATTACAGTAAGCCTGTTGTTCAAGACAACAGTGTGGCCTCTGCTGTTCTGGGTGCTAGCCCACACTAGGCCTTTCGTCATGTCTATTTTGGACCTGATCGGGATTAGCAAACTAGCGAGTTTATATATGGAAAAAAAA